AAAAAAGAAAGAAATATATAAAAATTAGCAAAAGAAGAAGTAAAAACAATTTTAAAAAGGAGAAAAAAAATAAATGAATGCATTAACTGCTTCTTCCCATAGACCAGCAGAAATGTACATTACAGTTGTCCAAACCATCCTGCTTACATTCCTAGATAAACCTCTTTCCCCCACTCCATTTCCTGGCCGCAACTCAGTAACTCTTCTTGAATGAGTTCCCTTTCTTTTCGCAGTATCTATTGTACCCTTTAGATTCCACTTTTTCTCTTTCTGGTTCTCACACTAAGGAGACAATATGACATTTGCATATGTATGTCTGATTTATTTCATTTAAGAAATACTGCACCCATTTACTGACAAAAGACTCAAATTTATCCTGTTTATAGCTGAATAATATTCCAATGTGTAAAAATACCTTATGTTCTTTATCCAATCTTTGGATGATGGGCATCTATGTTTTTTTCAGGATTTAGCTACAATAAATTATGCTGCTATAAGCATAGGTACACATACATCATTGTGGTATGAGGTTTTCAGTTCTTTTGCAGAAATACCCAGGAGAGGAATAACTAGCTTGAATGGGATCTCCAATCATAGCTTTTGAAGCAATCTCCACACTGATTTTCGTAGTGGTTACACAGTCTGTACTCCCAACCAACAGTGCAGAAGGGTTCCTTTTACTCCACAGCCTCTTCAGCTGTGCTATCGGCTGCCTTGTTGATGTTAGCCATTCTTTCTGGGGTGAGGTGGAATGTCAGTGTTGTTTTAATTTGCACTTTTCTAATGACCAAAGAGATTGAATACTTTTTTATATATTTGCTTGGGATTTGTATTTATTCCTCTGAGAAGTGTATATTCATCGCAGATGCCCATTTTTGGATTGGATCTTTGAATTTGGGGGCCTGATTTTTTTTTTTTAAATCTTTATATGTTCTAAATAGAAGGCTTTTGTTGGAGGGACAGTCAGCTATTATTATTTTTTTCCAGTTTGTGGGTTTTCTTTTTACTCTGTTGGGGATTTGCTTTGAAGTTCAGAAACTTCAAAAAGGTAGGATCCCAGTTATTGATTCTTTAAAGTATTTTCCATTCAGTTTGGTTTTGTTCATGAACTCTCTACCTATCCATATGTCTTGAAAATTTTTACCTACATTTTCCTCCACAAGATTTAGTGTTTCTATTTTGATATTTAAATATTTGATCCATTTTGACTGTAGCTTTGTGCATGGTGTTAAGCATGGGGCTAGTTTCAGCCTTCAGCATGTGGAAAGCCAGCTTTTCTAGGATCATTTATTAAAAAGGCTATCTTTCTTTCAATGAATATTTGGCCCCTTTATCAAAGATAAGTTGGCTGAGTGTGTTTGCAGTTGTGTCTACATGGTCTTATCTGTTCTACTGATCTTCAAGTCTCTTTCTACACCAGTACTATGCTGATTTTATCACAGTAGCTTTATAATATAATTTTAGTTCAGGGATTGTGATACCTCCTGCCTATCATTTGTTTCCCATGATTGCTTTTGTTATTCTGGTTTTCTTCTGGTTCCAAATGAATTTGAGGAAGGTTTTCTCTAGCTCTGTGAAATATACTAATAGATTTTTAATCAGGATTGCATTGAATTTGTATAACAATTTTGGGAGTATGGCCATTTTCACATTGTTTGTTCTTTCTATACGGGAGCATGGAATATTTTTAAATTTTCTCAAATTTTCAATCTGTTTTCTCAGAGTACCATAATTTTCACTATATAAAACTTTGTATATCCTTTGTGAGGGTGAGTCCCAAGTATTTCATTTTTTGGATATTATTGTGAAAGGTAGTTCCCCTAATTTCTTTGTCAGTGTGTTCATTGTTTCTGTATAAAAATGCTACTAAGTTCTGGGTGTTAACTTTGTATTCTGCTGCATTGCCAAATTGGGTGATTAAATCTATAAGACATTTGGGGTCCTTTATGTAGAGTATCATGCTATCTGCAAATAATGATAATTTCATTTCTTCTTTTCCAATACTTATTCCTTTTATTTCTCTCTGTTGTATAATTGCTATTGCTAATGTTTCTAGAACTATATTGAGTAGGAGTGGAGACAGTGGACATCCTTGTCTTGTTACTGATTTTAAAGTGAAGGTTTTCAGTTTTTCCCCATTTAATTTGATGTTGGTTGTTGGTTTCTCATACATGGCTTTTGTCTGGTGGAGATATAGACCATCTATCTATTCCAGTTCTCTGTAGGGTTTATTTTTATCACGAATGAGTGTTAGACTTTGTCAAAAGCTTTTTCTGCATCTACTAAAATGATCATGCAGTTTTTGTTCTTGGTTCTATTGAGAGGTGTATTACATTTATGGGTTTGCACATGCTGAACCATTCCTGCATTCCTGGAATAAATCCCAATTGGTCATGATGTATATTCTTCTTGATGATTTGCTGAATTCCATTTGCTAGCATTTTATTGAGGATTTTTTTCATTGATATTCATTAGAGAGGTTGCTCTATATTTCTCTTTTTTTTTAGTTGGATCATTCTCTGGTTTTGGAATCAGAGTAATACTGGTTTCTAGGAATGAGTTTGGGAGAAATGGTTCCCTTTCAATTTCATTGAACAGCTTGAGAAAAGTTAGGATTAAATCTTCTCTAAATTTCTTGTAGAATTCTTCTGTGAATCCATCAGGACCTGGGCTTTTCTTTGTTGGTAGGCTTTTTATTACATTTTCAATTTCATTTCTCATTATTGAATTATTCAGAGTTTATATATCTTCATTTTTTATATTATCATTTATTTATTTTTTTATTTTTCAACAAATAATACACTGCATATATTCTTCTTAGAGGTTAATTGCTGTACAAGATGCGGA